AATGTGGTCACTACTGCTGAGCATGGCAGAGATGGAAATCAGGAGCAGATGCCGGAGAATAGTGAACTCTACGAGACAGACCAGAAGGACAAGCAACCAAGAAACGTTCATTCATAAGGAACTGGTTGCTAAAGGGCAAGGTGGCAACGATAGTTGACAACAGACTGAGGTGGAAGAAATGGCATCAGGCACAATCATGAAGACTACGAGGGTACCTGCCGGGGGACCTGGCAGAAGGTTCTGTATGGTGATCAACAAAAGGAGGACACACAAAGAGAAGGACAAGGACAAACAACAGAACACAGAGCGGACGCCCCCACTGTTCTCGCAATACAGGGACTCRTTCGACAGGCYCTAASTAGAAGCCTCARCAAGCTGACAGTCAATCCTCCTTAGAAGGAGTAATCAATGCTGGTCAGGGGTCCTTCGGCCTGACGGAAGGAAGCGTTGAGTGAGTAATATGATGTAACCAATTTTGACTTGCCGGGGGAATAGGAACCGGACTGACGCTCCCCATAATGGATATCGAGCCTGCTTGGTCGATGTGAAAGCAGTTGTCTGTTAGTTTTATGATTCTCTTGGCTAATGCCTTTGCTAGGATTTTGTACGACGTTGTGAGAAGTGAGATTGGTCTGTAGTTCTTGAGGTCCTCCTTGTCGCCCTTTTTGTATACTAGCGACACTACGCTGGTGCTCAGAAATTGACCCAGGCCTCTCTTTTCTCTGCTGTCGTTGATGAAGTTAAAGAGGTCATTGCCCAATGTTGGCCAAAACTGGATCCATAATTCTTTGGACAGGCCATCGATCCCGGGTGCTTTGCCGTTTCCCATCTAGGACACGACCGTGTGAAGTTCACCTATGGTGATTGGCTTATCCAAGTCCTCCGTTTGTTCTTGGGTGATCGTTCTCTCTAGGTAGGTCATCATGTGCTGACGGGCGTTGATATTAGCTGTTGGAAGAGGGGCGGGGGGGTTGGACTCGTAGAGGTCGATGTAGAAGGACCTGACTATTCTTACCATGTCTGCACCGACTGACTTTGTCGTCCCCTGGTCTGCTGGGTCCTTCAGCCCCTCGATTGTGTTGTTTCTTGCATTGGCCTTGATCTTGGAGAAAAAGAACTTGGACATGGATACATATAGGATGTAGTCATTCATTCGGGCGCGTATCTGCAGGGGTTTGGACTCGTAGAGGTTGGCGTAGAAGGACCTCGCTATTCTTACCATGTCTGCGCTTGACTGACTTTGTCGTCCCCTGGTCTGTTGGGTCCTTCAACCCCTCGATTGTGTTGTTCCTTGCATTGGCCTTGATCTTGGAGAAAAAGAACTTGGACATGGATACATATAGGATGTAGTCATTCATTCGGGCGCGTATCTGTAGGCCTTTGAGTTCCCATCTTCTCCATTCGTTTAGTTCGTCCGCGGTAGATTGGAGTAGGTTGTGGTAGGAGTTGGAGGGATCGAATGCTAGGTTGGTTTCTGCGATGTCGAGTATGATGTGAAGTTCTTCCTTCGTGTGTTTGCTTTCTCCTGCTATGCTTCTAGACTCTGCTGAGACCGTCTGAGCCAGGGATAGGATGTAGTCATTTATTCGGGAGCGTATTTGTAGGCCTCTGAGTTCCCATCTTCTCCATTCGTTTAGTTCATCTGCGGTAGATTGGAGTAGGTTGTGGTAGAAGGAGTTGGAGGGATCGGATGCTAGGTTGGTTTCTGCGATGTCGAGTGTGATGTGAAGTTCTTCCTTCCTGTGTTTGCTTTTTGCTGCTATGCTTCTAGACTCTGCGGAGACCGTCTGAGCCAGGTCCATATAGTAGTCTATGAACCATTTGTGCGTGTCATGACGTTTCTTCTCGTCTTGCTGTATGAACCACCAGATCCATCGGAGTGCCTCAGTCATGCATTCTGTGGAGAGGCGTGAGTTGTTGAGTCTAAAAAAGCCTTGACCTTTTTCTCCTGGAGAGTTGAAGTTAAGGAGCAAGTAGGTTGGTTTGTGGTCGAGCCCCGTAAAGGATGCTGCTGGTAGGATACCGATGTCCTTGATTGCTCCCTGTAGCATGTCAGAAATTAAGAAGAAATCGATTCGTGATAGTGATGTGTGGTTAGAGTGGTTCCTCTTGACTAGGGAGAAGGCTTTCTTGCGTGGGTGGAGGATTCGGAATGGGTCGACTAGGTCGAACTCTGTCATGATGTTTCGTAGGTGTGTGCTCGGTCTTGTGGGTCCCAACAACACTGCCCGAGAGATGCAATCCAGGCTGGGGTCCAACGTGGTGTTCCAGTCACTTGCTATGATTAGCGGTAGGGGGGTCGGGAATAGTGATTTGACGTGGTAAAAAAAAACTAGGCATTCGGCTTCCGTGTTGGGGGCGTATAGGTTTAGGATCCTGATCTCTTCCCCTTGCCATGTAATTTGGATCCATGACCATCTGCCTTCCGTTGTGTCTCCTTCGCCGTTGCTTACCAGACCCTCGGACCGGATTTTGGAGGTAGTTGGTATAAGGATTGTTGTGTCGCGGTTGCTTTGGTCTACTTTGTTGGACCACAGTGTGAATGGGCATCCCCCTAGGCTCTTCTCCACGGTCCTCTTTATTCTTGTGTGGTTAGTGAGGTTGGATAGGTGGGTCTCTTGTAGGAGAATGACGTCGGGTTTGGGATTTCTTTTGTCTTTGAGGCCGAGTCTAATGTCTCGTAGTTTGTCGTCTTCGGTGAGAATGTTGCCCAAGCTGTTGACGTTCCAACTGTGGATGGTTAGTCCTTTTGCTTGCCGGTCCGTTCTCGCTGTCCCAGAGTGGTTATTGTTGTCAACCATTCGATTACGTCTGACGGGTTGCTGTGTGCAAAAATTCTGGTTTTATTTTCTTTGGGGTGGAGGTTGTGGTGCGGAGTTCAGTCGTGGGGGGGCGTTGGGGTCTCTAATCAGCCGCTGCTGTGGTCCCTGCGCTGTCAGGTCCGGTTCCTTCGGTTTCTTCACCGTCATCGTTTGCCCTTCTCCCGACGGCAAATCCCAGGTTGTATCCCCCCATGCTGCCCTCGGGTGCTAGGGTGGTACCGATCCCGTCACTGCCCGAGGATATCTAGTCGTTCAGCCCTTCGTCGTCGTCGTATTCACCCATGTGCCTATCCTCGTCCTCCAGTTCCAGGTAAAGCGGCTCAGCTTCATCCTGTAGGGAGTGTTTTGTGAAGAGGATGTGGGATCTAATGATGGCGGCCAGGAATCGGCCATGTCCTCTGCCGGACACATCTTGCCTGCAAGTGTGTTGTATGGCAGGGCGGTCACAGTGTTCCTTGCTCTCCACATCTGCCCATCGTGCAACCTCAATTTTTCTTATAGTTTTACAAGGATTGGTTCAAAGGATCTGGTTGTGGCGAGTTCCTGGTTGATCTCGTCTGAGTCTTCTCTGGGGGGGGCGAGGATTCCGTAGATTCCTAGGGGAGAGTCTTCGGATATGCCTTCCCTGATTGTTCTGGCCAGTATCCGGTGGTCTCCCACAGTCGGGAAGGCGAAGGATACGTCTGTGGCTACCTGCCACTCCTCGAACTGATTTATGTACCGGATGGGGACCAAGGGTCTGACTGACTTGATCGTTTTGCGATTTGAGGTAGCTTTCTCAGTGACATGGGGGGCCTTGTTGTCTGCCACATTTTGGATGGTGCAATATTCTTTTCTGTGGCTTTTTTTGTATTCCATGTTCTGCTCAAACAGGCACTTTGTTTGAGCAGCGACGATGGCGATCTCTTGTTCGAGGGCTCGCTGCTCGTTGCCATTTCCTATCGTATCCGTCGTGGATTTTCTGGATCTCTTGACCCTGCCCTTTGATGACTTCCACTTCTTCGGTACCATGTCTCTGATTGGGTTCTTGTAGATATGAGTTTTTGCACTGGATCCGAACTCGGAGCTCGAGTTGTCTCTTTCCCACTTCTCCTCATGATATCTAAAGGCGCTGAATCCTGACAACTCACTCTGTTCTCTCAGGATGTCGTAGGTGTTCGTGGATGTGTGGATGCCTGCTACCGGGCCTTTGCTGCTCCGGCCTGTCTTCTCCTGATGCTTCATGCATGACACTGATGTTGAATTTTTTCTCCCTCTCATTTTTGGCTCTTTCCAGATATTCCTGCAGCTAGGTAATGGGGGAGTCTCCCTGTTCTTTCGGTTTGCCTTCCCTGTCGCTCTTGGAGGGAGATATGTCCATTCCTTTGTGGGTACAGTCCTGATTTGTTATTGGGCTAGGGTCTGATTCAGTCGGGGCTTCCTGTGAACTCCGTGTGTCAGTAGGGGGGCTTCCCTTTTCAGTTGATCCGTTCTTTCTTATTTTCTTCCCGCTCGGTGTCCCGGTGTTCTCCTTTTGTGGTGAGGCCTTTCTCTAAAGGGAGGGGTCGGTCTCTAGGGTGCGTCCCTCAATGAATTTGGCTGCGTCCAGGATGTCGTTGTCCTCTTCTTGCTTGGCGAGGGCGTCTGCAGTTTGCTGTCTGATTGACTCAAGGTCCCACAACAGGTCTTCGTGTTTCTTTTCTTCTTTGATCGCACGGGAATCCACCACCGAGTCTGAGTATATTTTCCCTGGGATTCCTGTTATCTTCTTTGCTCCCACGTGGTGCCATTTGCTGTCTGGCGATGGAAAGATGTCTGGCTGTTTGATTGTCGGGGTTGTGTTCGTGTATGTCCATATCCACTTAGGATCTGGGATATTATCGTCGAAGACCCAACCATCGTAGTCTGGGTCATTGACGAACAAGATACCTTTGGCCTCTTCAACTTCGACGAGAATGTTCTATCTCAGTTTTTTTCTGTTCAGGGGAGCGTGGGCATTTGGGATCTGTTCCCAGGTGGCCTCTTTCTCTGCACCTGAAGCAGATTGGCGAGGCTTTGGTAGACACTGTTACTAACGTGACTTTGTCTCCAATGAGACATTGCCACTCTTCAGGGAACACTGGGGGGTCGTCAGTCAGTACCTCTAGGATTGCTGTTACGGAATCGCAGTGGGGGCCCAAGAAGTCGGGCGTAGGGAGAACCCATTTTAACACTTTGTTTGCGGGGTATTCGACTTCCAACCGGTCCTTAATCAGGGGATGGCCTTTGGGTGGGATGTTGTCAAATTGTACCCAGAACTTCTCCCTCATCAATCGCTGTTTGTAGGACTTCAGCTCGCTGGGCTGTCTCCGGTTTCCAGAGTGAAAGGGTGCAGACAGATCCATTGCAGTTCAAGGCTTTGCATTTCTCCAGCATGTGCGTTGCTTGATATGCGTCTTTAAAGACCACGATCATCATGGTTCTACCCAGACCAAGCAGGGAGAACTTGTCGACCTCTGTTTTGATGTTCTCGTGTTCTTGAATGGTTTTCACCATCCATTTCCTTTTCTCGATGGGGGAGAGTCTTGCCCCGGCGTTGGAGAAGTAGAAGATGAGAGCAGGCTTCTCATATGTCGCGTTGGTGTTGGCGATCTTGTCTTTTGGGTATGCCCAGGCGGTCACTTCCTCATCGGTGTTATCCTTCACATTCCTGACTTTGATTATGACTTCCTCCCCAATCTTGTCNTCCTCCCCAATCTTGTCTTTTGGGTATGCCCAGGCGGTCACTTCCTCATCGGTGTTATCCTTCACATTCCTGACTTTGATTATGACTTCCTCCCCTTTGATTTTTGGGGCTTCCAGCAGCAATCGAAGTGTCTCGTGATCTACATTGGATGCCATTTGGGAGGGTTCTTTGAGGTGGCTGTTTTTGTTGCAACTACCGTGCTGTAGCGGCGTTGGTAAGTTTGAGTCATTCCTGAGATTGCTCGTCGCTGGTAACGTGGTGGGGTTAATGCGTTTCTCCCTTTCTGCTGTTTGCTGGAGGTGTGTTGTTGTTGTTGTTGTTGTTGTTGTTGTTGTTGTTGTTGTTGTTGTTGTTTCCTCTCTAGGCTACGTGGTCCTGTAGGGTTTTGTTTTTTCTTTTTTCAATCAATTGGTTGTGAGCGTTAGATGCGTTACGTTAGTGCACGTGTAGAAAACTAAAAAGTGCAATTTTTCCTTGTTTTTTGTTTTTTCCTGTGCAACAGTCTTAATTCCGCATTCAAGTCACTATGGGGGTGCGGTTACATACGTGCAGTAGGAGTGGGGGAGGAGGGGGTACAATAGGAGTCCAGAGAGATGGGTGTAAGATTTGGGGGACTTGCATCAGGGTGGCAAGTGTAGTGAGGGTGTGCGTCAGGGTGGCAGGATTGGGAGCTAATCTACATTGCGCTAGTGGGCGAGAGCGTTTGCCTATCTACATTGCGCTAGGCTAAGTGGATATCCATTGCGTGATCGGATGATTGTGAAGTTGGCCTATGTGGGCGAGAGAGTTTTTTTTTTTTTTTTTTTTTCTCTCTCCCTGTGCAGCAGTCTTAATTCTGCATTCTATTCATTATAGGGAGTGTGGCTGCATGCGTGCAGTAACTCGCTACTATCTTAATACTTTCTTCTTGTGATTTTACACGTGGCTTCCGCTGTTCACAGCTAGCCCACGTGAAGTGGATATCTATTGCGTGATCGGGTGATTGTGAAGTTGGCCTATTGTGAGGTAGCTTTGTTTAATTTTCGGGGGGTCGATTGGTTGTCGGACGGTGTGGATGGGTGGAGAATAGGGGTTGGGGGGGTGTTACATCGAAGGAAAAGTGGGAGAGAGTGGTCTTTTGGGGGGCTTGGTGGAGAGGGGACCCTAAGGGAGGGGCGGGCGAGGGATTGGGTGTGAACGAGATGGGGAGACGGGAGCGAGAGTGATAGACAGAAATCCAAATTGCAAAATCCCAAAGTAGCCCAGATAGTCATGTACCAAGCAGAGAGCACAAGGCACCAAGATACCATCCAAATAAGAGCAATACAATGAACTCGAATGTCAATGCTGACGCTCCCTGGCCACACCAACACAATATCCAATGTCCCTCCTACTGTCTGACGCCCAGCGCCCAGCCTACACGAAGCCTACCTTATCACCAATGCAGACCGCCAGCATGCACCAGGTACATGTCTCACACCTCTCCTAATCACCCCCTGTCTCCCCTCTGCATGCGCCTCCTACCCGAAGACCACCATCACTGTCACCTGCCACCGCACGTGCAGCCCGACTATGGCTGCTGTGCGCCCGCTGCCACCACAGCGCCCTCGTGCACCCCAGCCTGCCTGCTTAGTGCAGCTTTGCACAGCAAAGCAGCAGTGTGGCCGCATTGCCTGCTCATGCCAGAATGCCGAGCTCCTGGGCGCTCACTTTCCTTTATGGAAAGTGAGCATGCCTTCGGCCTGCTCTAGGCCTGGCATGTGGGGGCCTGGTAGCTTCAGGTTGGCCCCAAGTATCTGCACCCAGGCCCAGTTTCAGATACCGGCCTGGGCCCCGTGCAGTTAGGCACGTCCAGGTAGTCCACCAGTCTCCAAGTGTTCAGCGCGATCTCATTGGCTCGCTGCATGTGTGTGACGCAGGAGCTGCTTTCTCATTGGTCCGCGGCCGCTAAGTGACATGTCGGCCTCTGGATGCATATGCCCAGGGCCTCAACTGGATGAGCCCTGGGCTCAACTGTACGACGCAGCTGCTGCTTCTGGAAAGAGCCAGGGGAGGCTCACGTTGCTCTGTAACCAACTGGTGTGCTGCAACTGTCTGGTATCCCACATACGAAAAATGTTGAAAATAGGCCTCTTGTGGATGTACAGGCCTGCCTTCACTTAGGTCGGGCACGAGGCTTACTGGGGGCCGCAGCCCATAACATTTGCATGCCCGAGAAGGGCCTCACGAGGGCTCAATCGGAGTCAACCCACAGGAATTGAATGTCGGCGAAAGTCGCATGAAAGTGCACTTTTGCCTTGCTGTTTTATAGTTTTTTAAACCGTTTTTCCAAAAAACGAATCGTTAGTATGGTGTCCACTCTATGAATTGGTGGCAAGTTTGTTTAAAATGACCCTTGGATTTTGCTATAAATGGCATGACAAGTTGTCTGAAAATTTGGGCCTCCGTTAACAGCCTCTCACCTTTCCTGCGGGATTGTGTTCTGCCATGGGCCCCACAATAGAGCAAGCTTTGAAAAGTTTTTTTGCAATGGTAGGTTTGTGATATTGGATTGGAAATGTGTGGAGGCATGAAGGGTCAGCTTTCCAAAATGATGGGGGGGGGCTCAGGTCTGACATTTTAGGACCGTTTGTCTGACCCTGGCTGCAAATAACAGTGTCAGGAGCCATAAATCTAACAAGATTTTGTCTGATTTCGACTGGACGGTTGCCTTTGGAGTGCCTCCTTTTCCACTTACAGATTTTTCCCAATCTTCTATGGTTTGGTCAGTGATTCCAAACCTGACGGAATTTTTTCTGGTTTTAAACTTGAACGTGTATCCAGATCGCTTCCCGTCTGTCCGATCAGCCACGTGGCAGATCCATGTGCCTTCCTGCTTGCTTGCTTTAGTTAGATTTGTGCTTCTTGGCAATGATTTAGAAGGGGATAATCTTACAGGAACGTTGTGGAATTTCCAATGTCTCGAGTCGCAATGACGGTCAAGTACATACATAGTGAATATATGAATGCGCCCTAAATCCGATTGCAATTCTGTCCGAGTTGGCATTTGGGCTGGCTGATGTAGCGTTCCTGCAGGCTGTGTACGTTTTGTGTTTCAGAGTGATCGAGGAGGGCATAGTAATCACACTAGACCTTTTTCTGGTGGATGTATCTGATCACAATGAGGGTGGACATTCGTAGCTGCACTTGGTCATATGGATCCAGGAGAGACATACGGGTAGTCTGAGTTCTATTTTGCCCAGATCAAATCGCTGTGATTACCATTCATGACAATCACGAGTGTTTGCTGTTGCAGCTGTGGATGGCGTGGAAACTGCTCTCTCTATATCTCCCACTTCTCCCCTCCCCAGATTTGTGGTGCGGGTGATCACTGGCAGCTTGATTTTTCTTTGGGGGGGGAAGGGTGGTTGCGAGGCTTCAGAAGGGGCCGCCTGTAAAAATGTGACCCGGGCCCGAAGGCCGGGACTGTAAGATGCTGCCAGGCCTCTGGGGAAGGCTGGCGTGAGGCAGTTGTAAGGAAGGCTGGGCACTGCCTCTCCAACAAACTGGTGGGCCCAGCCTCCCAGTTAGTGGTGGAGACCAGAGTCCCGAGGGAGTTCTCAGACTGGGAAGAGCCTGTCCCAGCCAGGCAGCCGTGGCCTCCTGGAAGTAACAAAAGGAGAGGATGTTGCAGCATTTTACATGTTCGTTATCAAGACAGTTAGGCATCGGTGTGTGCACTGTTGGTGTGCTCTCGGCTTTGGAAATCTGCTTTCGACTTTGCTCATATATGCTGGTTTTCGCTTTTTGTCGTTTGCTGCATGGGAAATTTGTGTTGGCAGTGATCGGTTCCTTCAGCTTGCTTGCATGATCACTGGCAGCTTAAACTTCCTCCACGGTGGCTGCAATCACAACCACAGATCTTTGCATTATGTGAGTTCATGCTGCGGCCAGGAAATGCCGATCTGCTGAAGAGAGATCAGGATGCTTTTGTTGACCAGTTTGGTAAGTTCATTCGAGTACTACATCCAGACAGAGATGACATGTTGACGCAGTATGCCTACATAGACCTGGCTAAAGAATTTTTGAATGAGCTGCCTGATGTCTTTGAGGAGATTTCGTCCCGTGTGCGAGCACTACAGCCGCACAGCGACGAAAATGTTGATGCGTTGGAGATGGAATATGCGGAGTTGGAGGTCGGATTGGCAGGGTTTGTGCTCGCTCATTCCAGTGATTACATGGCTAAAATGCTTCATCGGTCAGGGATGGATGTTACGCAGGAGAGTGACAGCAGTCTTGCAAATGCCATGTTTGACTTTTGCAGAAACATGCAAGAAAAGATTTGGAACGATGCCTATTTGTATAGAATCATTGTAGTCCATTTTGTCGACTTTGACTTGGTGGGAAATGACGGCGAGCACTTTCCATTACGAATGCGCATGCTCAATATTTTTGATGAAGAGGAAGTTGGCCCGGGCTGGTTTGCTGAGGTGGGAGATCGTGAGACAGACATTCTGATTGCCAAAGCCGACCATACAATGTTTTTGGCCAACCTGGCAGGACTCCGTATCATGGCTGCGGACATTGTTGAGCAACATTACAAGCCACATGGAGATATCACAACATTGCAGCTAACATCAGGGTTTTTCAAATATTCTAGCGACGAGGATCCCGACGGGTACGACTTCAGGTTGTGTGATGACGCTAATGATAACGTCAATGAACGTGGGAGTCGTCAACTTGAAACAAGAATACCACCTAAAGCGAAGGAGCTTATAATGGAAGACTTGTGCTGTCTTCGTAAAAACTCATTTTGCGTGACTCGTCGCTCAGTTATTTCCTATTCTAGTCACTTGGAGTTTGAGCGCTTAATTCCTGTCGTTGCAAAGTTGGCTTGTCTCCATTTTCCAGAAGTTAATCCTTCTCTCCCTTGTAACCGTTTCGACTCTGTTGTGAGGAGGCTTAAGCTCCGTACGTCAACGTTAGAAGAGTCCCATCGAAGGGACCTTGAACGATCGCAAGAAATTGTCAGTCGCTTTCGTCGCCGCCTCAAAGGAACTTGCTGGGAGCAATTACATGCGGATTCTGGGGCTCGTGGTGCGGTCCGAACGACACCTATTCAGACCAACTGAATAGAAGAGAGAGAGAGAGAGAGAGAGAGAGAGAGAGAGAGAGAGAGAG